ATTTTGCAAACTTTTGAAATAACTGAAAAAGTTATAGAAATTATTGTAAGTGCAATATTTACAATACAAACAAATTAAAATTATCAAAGACTTTTTTAATTGTAAGTGTGATGAGAATTTTAGTAGTATTAATTTTATTTTTTACACGTAAATAAGTAAATTTTGGGATAAATTATATAATTTTATGCGTATAAAAGTGAATAAAACAAAATGAAGCATAATTTGCTTCATGTCTCGTACTTGTTGTCGCTTCGTGGTTACGTGAAAACTTGTTATCAGCAATCTCACTTCTTCTTATGAGTTTTGCAGTAACTTCCATCAAATAAAATAATTTTCCCCGCACCTTTGTTAACCTGTTTGCTTTAGGGTATATATATTGCTAGATGGATGTGCATGTGCATGTGTATACATAGTTTATGTTTGTAAATTTATATTTTTATATGCATATATATGTGCGCACGTATGTATACGTTTTTGCATGTATATGTATATGTGTGCATGCGTGTATATGCGTGTGTATAATGTATTTATGCATGAGCGTGTATGAGTGTGCGCACGGATGAGCATCATTCCCAATTAATTTCCGTCTTCATTTAATCATCTTTTAAGCTGTACTATTTTAATAAAATTTATTTATATAATATTTTTTAAACTATAATATTAAATGATCAATATTAATTATATTATTTATTAGTAATGCAAATTTGAGCAACAAAAAAATTAACGATTATGACATTTTAATAGCTCTGTGTGCAAGACAGCAGTAATATAGCTGTAATTTATTTTGTTGAAAATGCGATGATATCATTGTTAATAGCATTATTATCTATTCATATGTACTGAATTATTATTAATTATTATTGTGTTAAATTTATTTTTGAGTTATTTTAGAAGATAAGAATTACTGTGTCAAAGTAAGTAAGCTGCCCACAGATTAAAGTAAGAGTATGGAGCTCAAATTAATCAAAAGTACTCTTAAAAAAGCTGAATGAATTTAATACAAGCCGAGTTTTTTATTTATTATGAATTTGTTTTTGAAGCATGACGGTGACAGAGGCAAGGATTAATTAGCACATGCTTAATAATTCATACAGAAATACCAGAGTTTGTTGCAAAAAAAGCAAGTTTTGAGTAGAAGCAAGAAAGATTGAAAATAGCATTTAAACTGCATGAATCGAAATTTGATTTTGAACTTCGAATTTGATTAGTTTTAATATTTCAAAAATGTTGGAAGCGAAATTCTTTTATGAGTTTTAGAGTTTGAATAGCTTTAGAGTTGCTTGATGTGCTTAAACTAGAAGCTGTTCACAGTACTTCAAATACTTTACTTTTTTTGTCTCGGCTTTTATTGTTCTGAAATTAAAAAAGTGGACAATTTGTAAAAAAAGGAAATACGTCAATGTGCTTGAAAATACTTTGCTTCATAACTACAAGCTTATTACAGTACTACCTTTTGTTTGTGTATTTAAGAATTATTTAGAATTTTCAGACAAAAGCAAAGTGATTTTCAGCTATTTAAAATATTTTAAAAACAAACAAAACGAAATAATTGATCTGAGTTAAATTAGAAGTTTTTTAGATTGCCAGTACTTGAATTACTTACTGGTTAAGAAGTGATCAAAATCCAGTAAAAGTCATAAACAGAAAAATAGTGAAAGTTTAACAAATAATAAAATTGCAGTGCGTCTTCAAAACATAAATATTATTGAGGAAACGTCAATGAAACTCAAAATACGACAAGTTTATTTATTAATTACGTTAATTTATGAAAGTACGTGAAGAAAAATTTAACATGGCAGTATTCATATCGTTTATATTGTTTCATTACTGCAAAAATTTCGTGCATTCTTAAATGAATAATTCAAAGAGGGCATAATAAATGCATAAATAAACAACCATGATTGGCACATTTAATATTACATAAAATTTGCATAATAATTCATATTTCTTAAAAAGATTTAGAAAATTGTTATTTGGATTATTTTAGCAATACAAAATTGCAAGTGCTACACAAATAAATATACATCTTCAGCTTCCGCATAAAATGTATTTACAAATTTTACTGAAATATAATGAAGGCCATTTTGTGAAAGTTCTAAAAATAAAAAATGTTGATAACTTTCAGAAAACAAAATAAACTTGATAAAAAACTTATTGTTACTTGAAAAATGTGCAGTGGATATACTCACAAAACTTTCAGATAAATCTATTTCTACATGAATCTAAAATCATTCTTTTGCATATTGAATCTGAGATTCATTGCTTCACCATAGCAAATATTTACACCAAAAATTCATGTAATCCTTGTGCAAATAGATGATAAAAGTTAATTATTTTAATCAAAAATGTAGCTGATATTTTGAAAAAATTTAAATTTGCTAAAAGTTTAATCTCATGAAAAATCTTTTTCTAATTTTGTGGTACAAACGAAGAAGTTTTTTTATAGTCTAGAAAGATACTACTGGCTTTATCTTTAAATTTTAGAGAAGAGATCTGGGGAAGTGTTATTATTATAAAGTTTCTCAGTTATCATGAAGTTATTTTCTGATTTTTTTACTCCCAAAAAAACACAAAACTATTCAAGTTGTATGTATATTTTTTGTGCTAAAAATCAAAGTATGTGTGAAATAATAAAAAAATTGTGATAGTTGTCGTGCAAGTCGTCTAAATCATTTCTCGTCCTAATTCTTTACATTTTATACATTCAATTTTATTCTTAATTTGTATGTGTATAGAATTTTTTTTGGCATTAAATTTGAGAAGAATAAAAAGGCTTAAAAATAACTATAACTTTTTGATTCAAATAATTTGCTATACATAATTCATAACTTTAATCTCATGTGAAAAATACAGATCGAAAAAACAGTAAAATGTTGCGCTTTAATTTTTAAGTAGATAATATTTGCTTGATGCTCGATTTTTATTTTTAATCATACTAAAGTTAAAAGAATATTACTAAAGTGTAGTCTGAAAACGTTGCACTAAGTATTCTGAAACATGGATTAATGAGTTAGAGCAAGTTTTCGGTTCTTGCTCAGATTTGACCAATATGTGCATATTTTTCTTAGCTAACATTCTAATTATATATCTGTTTTTTATAAGCTTCAAATTTACAGCGAAATTCTTCAAACGGAACAACAAATGTATGCAAATTTAACGTGACATTTAAATAACTCAGAATTTTCGAACTGTCAAAAATATGAAGACTTAATGTAGTAATTATTTTCGTTTCACTGAAAAATTATTCTTCAGTAGCATTGCGTAGAAGGAGAAAAAAAGTGATAACTGCGCACTCATGCGATTAATACTTGTTGAAACATATTTATGTGATAGCCAAATATTAACGATATGCAATTTGCAAATGTTAATTGTACAAAAATAACTTAGAAATCGAAGCTAATTGTATAACTTTAATGCAAATAAAATTAGTCTAGTAAAAGGTAAAATTTAGACTTGCAAAATTCATCCTAAATGACTGCATGTAATGAATTAAACTTAGGATAGATACTTTTTGTGAAAATTTGCGATATAATTTAAGTAGTCAAACCAGCCTATAGTGTATCACAAAAAACTAAAATCTTTTCCCTTTCACTTTCTGAATGATCTATTTTTGCAATGAAGATAAGTTATTATTTGTTTCGTACTCAATTACTTATTACTTTATAAATTTGTAACTAATGTTGCAACTAAATTTTCGGTCAGTCAAAATTTAAAAGCAATTTTGGATAAAGTTGAATAAGCTGAAGAAGTGAGCAAAATTAATACGTTTTAGATTGATATCTATAGAAATTAAATATTTTGATGGGTATTTTGTAGTAGTTATCAGATAATAAATTTAAATAAATGAATGCATTCAAATTAAGTAATGGACATTTTGTGGTAGTTATCAGATTAAATTTAAGGATTAAGTAATTCAAGATAAGCAATGTTATATACTTGTAAAAATGTATCATTTTTCGGTGATGCTAACACATAAGTTTGTTGAATTTAAAATGAATTTATAGTACAAAAATGGTTTCTTCTAATTTGATGACTACAACAGACTTGACTACTCATTACAATAAAAAATGAAACGAGCAATAAATATATAATTTAAATGAAATATCAGCATGTTCTTGTGTTTTTTTCTAGCATATTATACAATACATCCATGTTATTATCCATTAATACCCGATTTTTCGCACCAGCAATTTGTATCAGTTCTGCTTTGTTAATTGCATGCTGAAAATAACACAAAACAGTTAGCAAAGAAAATGACAATAGAATAATCTCAGTAATACTTAATCGAGTACTACCTACAGTACTACGTATTACTGGTGGATTTACTGAGTTAATCCAAATTTGTCTATTAAATACTATCGAGAATTTTATCAAAAACTTGTAAAGAAAAAAAGAGAGACGTAATTAAGAGTACCAAGATTGAATACAGACTTGTTGAGCACAAAGTACTGCATGTTTTTTGTACTAATAATAACAGTATTTAATCAAAATAATAATGCTAGCATAGAATAACCTGACTACTGACAGCTACTGCAAACATATTAGGTACTAAAGTCCTTAAGAAATTTGCTGCATCAGCTGTATCTTTTTGTCCAAAGCCATCTGTAAATATAATACCGAATGGTACAGCTTGTCCTGGTCTTGCACCTTTATCACTTGAATATTCTGCAGCAGCCTACAAAAGATTAATCCTTCAAGCAAATTCGTTTGGTGAAAAAATTAAATTCATTTACTTAATTACAAAAGGCTTAGTTGGAAGTTAAGAGTAAAGCAAGTAAATTACCTGAATTAGTGCACTGTGAATCGCAGTAGTTCCACTACTGAAGGGTATTTCTCGAAGAACTTGTAATATTTTTTGCTTTTCTTGAGGTTGATTGAAGGACCAAATTTTTCGAACTTTTTCTTTTGCAGCAAATTTGATTATAGCTACTCGAGTATATTCTGATCCAACTTGAAGTCGATTAATTATCTCTTCAGCAAGTTCTTTTTCACGACCAAATGTTTCTTCTACAGAACCCGATGAATCTATGATTATCATTGCATCCATCTTGCAACCTTAAATGCAAATTATGTATACAAGGATTAAAATTTAAAATACTTCTTCTAGTAGCTAATTAACCTGGTTTAAAATGGATCATATTGTGTGAAGTAATAGTAGCAGTAGTGATAACATCAGTAGTGGTAGTAGTTACAGATGAGCTGGTTGATGCCACATCAGAATTGCTTGATTCGAATTTCAGCACAGTTTTGCGATCCTTATTTGTTGTTTGCTTTCGCTTGATTGATGCAATATTGGGTTTATTTACAGATTTTCTCACAGATGACTTCATTCCTGCATGTTTCCGCGTTGTTGGAAATATTTTCACAGATCTCGCTATCGCTCTTGTTGTCGCAACACTACTCGTTGTGGATTCTGTATTCTGTTTTCTGGCTACAACCTAAACTTACAGTATCTCTATAATTTCAGTACTTGAGAGTAAATTATAGGAGTGCAAAATTTTTTAAAATACTTATGAAAAATGTAATTGAAGTTTTATTTTCAACTGGCAATTACTTTAAATTTACTTATAAACGCTAACTTTTTCGTTCAAACGTTGTTCTGAATTGAAGTTTAAATCCACTTTGCTTGCAATATCTTTTTTCCGATTCTGTAATTCTCTTCTACGTATCGAAGCATTACTTGTACGATTTGCAATGGTACTCCTAACCATTGCAGTTGGCAAGGCATGCATTTGAACAGCAGGAGAAGGCTTCTAAATGTGTATTAATTCTGATATTATGCATTGAAATGAATTAAAGACTTGAGAACACGCACAAAAAATAAAGAATATATGCAGCACTGATCATATCAAGATCATTTTATCAAAATAAGTTTTCACAAGTTAACTTAATATGTCAAAATAACTTTTAATTACTTTCCCTTTTATTCTTTTCTTATTTAAAAATAAATACAATGACAATTGCTAGAATTACCGGTGCACATTCAGTTCTCTCCACAGCATCCAGAATTATCCTAGCAAATTCCGCATTCCGATCATAACTGAAAATATTGTCTACAGAACCCGTATACTCGGATAATTTCTCCATATCCACTACTTTGCCACTATCAACTGCATATGTCTTCAATTTACTGATCTGAAATAATTACCTTTCAATAATCTAGTCTGATCTTACTTAATATTATTATTCAAATTAAGAGTAAGCATACTTTACAGTCGATCCTTTCATATCCTACTTACTAACAAAACCCATTCTACGTATTCGATCACACACACTTAGCTTTCATTTTATTACCCAGTAATTGACTTGACAAAAGAGAGGTCCCGGGGAGATTCGAACTCCCGTCGCAGGATTCAAAGTCCTGAGTGCTAACCACTACACCACGGGACCGTTCTACAATTTGTTGGAAAATTTTACTATATTAGTATACAAATAAATTTGCCTTATTTACTAACTTTGTATGAAACCAAACAATCACTGCAACTCATAAATTTTAGTAAATATAAAAATTAAATTTCATACTTTTCTTAATAAGTGGAATGAGTAAATGCAATGCATGTGGAGGATTTTCACGAACATAAAGCTTTTGTGATTAATAATTATTATGCACAAATAAATGAATACCTAATGCCCGTAATTAACCTGAGGAGTACACTAATTCCTACTAACACAGCGAGAATATCGCCAATTCACTTACAATAAATGCTAGTAAATACCTACCTACTTCTTTTCTATTTCTTTCACTATTTTGCTTACTTTTGCAAACGAAATATGAAGTGAATAATTAGATGTAAGGAATGACGATCACTTTCGATTTAATGAACGGTACAGTAGAGAGAGTACCCGAAATACCAAATCACTATTTCAAAAGAGTAGCATGCCGCTACTACTTAAGAGGTCTCGGGGAGATTTGAACTCCCGTCGCAGGATTCAGAGTCCTGAGTGCTAACCACTACACCACGAGACCGCTGACTTGCGTAATTCAATAGTAATTATTGTATCATCTTTTTTTAATACAAAAATTTTTAAATTTGTAATTTGCTTTCTTCTGCAAAAAAAAAATATGTCTTACTGAATGCAACTGTTTAAGAGAAGCCGTACGTTCTTCAAACGTGTCATCTGCTTTCCCATCGCCAACAATAATTAACATACGACGGGCATTACTTCGTTGTTCTTTGTTATACTTTCTGAAGTTATTATTTCATGCTAGTTAGCATAGGTCAATTAACGTAAAGTTACTGATCAGTAAAATTAGTGATCAAAAGTAAAGTTTAAGTTACTTACTCAGTAGCAAAACTTATGGCGCGTGCATATGAAGGCTTGCCAGTTTCAGCGACAATAGATTCTACTTTTTTGAATATGCTAACTCTATCTTGCTGATCGTTGATGCCAACAATTAATCGCGGCTTATCACTAAAGGTTATTATCAAGAAGTTCACTTTATTCAGGCTATCTTTTTGTGCTGGAAGCGAGCCTAAAATCATTACTTATTATTATTAATCAATAATAATACTTTTTATGACAAGTCAAAGCAATCAAAAATTCACTCAAATACATTTCAATTGTATTTTAATACGAATTTATCGATAAATATGATATTCATTTATTTTGAGATCAATTAGCCAATCAATCAGTATTCGTATTTGATTAATATTAGTGAAGAATGCTCACCAAGTACATCCAACAAGAGATAACGATTAGATGAAATGGATGGATCACTCAAATTATCTGTCTCATCAGCATTATCGAAAAGAATAATAATATCCAAATCAGAAGTATCACAGATATTATTTCTTAAATCAGTGCTAGAAACTAACTGGTCGATGCCACTCATTGTAGATTTTGTATCGCATTTTTGTCCATTAGTCAGAAGTGAAACGATATCTGTCAAGAATCTGTAAGTAAACTTTTTAATAAAATAAATAAATAAATAATGTATTTATGAGATCGAAAATAAAATGAGTACTACCTTTCAGTAGAATTATCTCTGTAAATACGATTTTCAGAACCAATATAAAGTTTCAATTCACGTAGATCAATCATATCTCCGAGAGCTACGCCAAATAACTCAGCGCCAGTAGATTTCAAGAGTTGACTTGCACTGACTACTTTTTCCCACGGATCTTGTGACATACCATCATTCATCAGTACAACAACCTGAAAAAATCGTTTCTTACAAAAATATTTACATTCAGTTGTATAGATGTTAATAAAAATGGTAATTAGAATATTGATGAGAAATTCATTCTACACCTGTATAGCATCTGGTCTTTTTCCACGTTCCAAATCTTGCACTGATAATTCAACTGCTTGAGCAGTTAGAGTACTTCCACCATTGTATTTGATCCCTTCAATTGCGTGACGTACCATCTAAAAATAATCATACTAGACCGATTCAGCTCATCTTTTTTATTTTTTTCATGACATGAATTCTTAAATATACTTCATGTTTGACTAATTACACTATCGTTAAGCAACTTCAAAGAAAAATTAGACTTCAGTAGCGGACCTGCTTATCACGACCTAAACCAAGTGTTTGACGTAATGTTGGTACTGAAGTGAATGAATTTATGCCAATTGCAACGTGTGTTTCATTGGCAGCAATTGGTAAACGCTCAATTAACGAAAGAGCCAATTCACGTTGATGCTCAAAAACTTCTTGACGACTAGTAGAAGCATCCAAAATAATTTCCAAATCCATCTTTGACAGCGTGCAACTGCAAGATTTGAATAATTTAAACTAGCTATAATATTCAAATTAGATTAGATAAATGGTTGAAGATACCTTATTAAATCATGTGATGACCCAGTAATATCTACAGGTTTCTCGTCTCGAGATAATTGATTATTCAAATTTTCAATAGCAACCAAATTATTTGCATCTCTGCTTGAGGAATGTTGTGATTCTTGTTTTTGGAGCATTTCTCGCGCTGCCTCTGTTGGAATTATTTTTGATTTTGACAAAGCGTTGACTCTGAAATTCCATATGCATTATTTTCAATATTACTCCATGCATTATTTTTTTTAGAAAGAATTGTAATCAGAAAGTGTCAAAAAGTCTGCAACTTCTGATTGTACTTTGAAGAAGATGGAACAAGCGGCACTTGCAAGGATTCATTTGTAACTTGCAAGGATTCCTTTTCTTTGTGCTCATTTTCGTCACAATTTAAAATGACGTTTCTCATATCCTGAATAGAAATTTAAGTTAGTAAGATCTGCAGTATTACTATCACTAAGTATCGATATGATAAGCGTTAAGTATAGTTATAAAAGTATACTAAAATAAAATCTTAGAATGTGATATGCACTGAAAGTACTGAATTAAAACTGTAAAATGATTCAATTTGAGAGAAAAGGCAAAGAGAATGGCTGAAGTTACCTCAAGAAAAGTATTCACTCTGTCTCCAACGTAAACTTGAGATTCATTTTTGGTGTATTCAGTTAATTGAGTTATGTTCTGGACTTCTGATAAGCTCAATGCATAAATTCCGCCATTTATTTCATTTAACTTTGCCGATGTATGCTAAATTAAAGAAATTTAATTATGCTTTTAATTAAATATTTGATTAATAGATTTATTTTAAAAGCAATACCTGAGTTATTTCCCACGTGTCTCTATCATCACCATTGGTGAATATGATTACAAGTACTCGGCTTGATGGTCGTCTACTAGAAAGCAGTTCAGACATAGCCGTATTGACAGCTGACGCCAAAGAAGAGTGACCATCAGTACGTTGCAAACGTTCAAGATCATAAAGAATATCTTCTTGCATATATTTGTTTTCAAAGCCAAATTTCACTTCACTGGTATCATCAAGGCTTACAACCGCTATCATCAGTCGATTCTAAAATGTATTCAAAAACTAAATTCTTCCATAAGTGATAAAAGATTACATTTTTGATGCTGCCAAACTTTTGCAAAATTTAAAGCATTATTATAATAATGCATACGGAAAAAATTTTTGATGGTAACATTTTTATCAAATTCATTGCATAAGCTTTCTGATTATAGAATTCTTCTTGCGTAGAGGTAGAACTATCGATTATAAACAATAAATCCACCAAATCATCTCCACACGTTGATGTGCTAAAATACAAAAATTAAAAGGATGGTTTGAGAAGATTAATCATATTTTACTTCAGTCACAATCTTAAAAATGACATTCTTAGCTAAGCATTCCTAGTTAGCTGATTCTTAAAATTCTTAGCTGATTATTTGTATTTAACAATTATCTGGTAGTAACAAATTTGGTACTAGTAATCAGATGAAGAATTAAAATTTGATAGATAACCTTGAAATATGTGAGGCACCTTGCGCTACCGATTCTTCTCTTATCGAAAACAATTCAGCATTTTGTATGGAAAATGATTCCACCTATAAAAATGTATTTATTTCTTTATATTTAATACTTAATGCTTTTTACTTAAAATTGAAAAATAGAATTAGAATAAGACTGAAAAGCAGTGCTAACTGATAATGAGAAAGATTTTTTTGCTTTCTTTTTTATAAAAAAGAAACAAGCTAAGATTTTAAAAAGTTAATTAGTAAAAATGATAAAAAGATAAGCAGTTAGAAGATGAAAACTGGCTTGGATTGAAAGCTATATGAGATAATACTTTCAAGCAATAGCAGTAATAATTTTGGTAGGTTAATTAATCTTTAATAAGTCGACTAGTACTATAACTTTATCATAGCATAAAAACTTTTATGGTAAGTAAAGAAGAAAAACTTTAATTTTATTTTTAAAGCTTCAGCTCTATAATCGGTTTTATTTATTTAATGCAAAATTTTTGGCTACTTTCTAAAATTTAATATTTTTTGATCTAAATTGTTGTTAGAATAGCATTATTTATCTAAGTTACAACCAAGTCAGTCATGACTTGAATACTTTTTTTCCAGTCAAAAAACTACTTCATTAGATCATATTTGTATCAAATTGAAAATGAATGAATAACTTTCGATTTTTGTGCTAAAATGAAAGTGAAAGATATTTTTGCGAGATGAAAAACGATACTGGAGCAGAAGGAGTTTGACATTCAAGAACAAACGATTCAACATCTCCTAAAAAGCGATTCACGCGATCGTCCACGTAGACCAACCACTTGTTTCCTGCGTACAATTCTAATTCCCTAAAACAAGTTTGTTTGTATCCATTTTTTCTTGTTACTAGCTTATTTAATATATTATTTGTATGCATTGTTAACTATCCTTTACAAATAGACCCAATGTTTCATTTTTACTTTAAATAATTTTGGTCAATTTTATTTATTAAGTAATTATTTTTGCAAAGTTGAGCAATCAAAATGAATTTATTTAAAAATCGTAACATAATTTGTAAGTGCAACTAAAATTTAGCTTTACCTAAAGTAATAATCTCGACCAGCAGCAAGTGCATAAACAGTTACATCAGTGGATCGGAGATAGCTTGAAGCTTTCAGAAGATCGTTCCAGTGATCTTGGCTATTACCATCTGATAACAGCACTATCATTTTCCTAAAAAATTCATTATTTATGTTAATTGATACTTAAAATTGTATTATAAAATGATCTGACTAAATATAACTCTGCTCAAATATCTTCATAATTACCTAGCATCTTTTCTGCTTGTTTCTTCTATTTCTTTCACAGCCAAATGAACAGCACTTACTAATGACGTACTTCCGCCCACGTTCGTAAGTGATTGTAAAGCTTCTAATATCTGAAAGTTTTAACTTATCTTTATTATCACCAAAACACAAATAAATTTCTTGCAACAAACCTCTTTCTGAGTTTTGAACTGATCGAAACCGAAATCAATTTTAGCTTTATTAGTAAATGAGATGGAAGCAACTCGAATACGATTGTCGAATGCAGAAAGTGGAATTCTCTTTATCTACAATAGCCAACTTATTAAATTAATATTTTTGGATCTCAAATCCAACAATCCTCAAATCGAAAAACAGATCACCAAAATTTTTACCGCTCACTTATTTTTCTTCGATTGATTTGATTTAATCAAATTAAAGCTATGAAAAGAATCTTAACTGTAGAATGCTCTATAACAAATAAATTTATTCTAAAAGAAATATTAACTATTCCGATAGCGAATTCTAATTGCTTTTGGAAGATTTTTTGAACGCTCTGTGATTTATCCACAACGAACATTAAATCCACAAAGCAGTTGGGATTTTCTGATAAAGCCTTAAAATTTATTAGAGTTTAGTATTTGTGATTTTACGTGTTAACAAATAAAATAAAAATTTCTGGCAAAGAATAGTTTTCAGGATTAATAATGCTTCATTTTTGCTTCTTAAAAAGTGAATTTCTTGTTTTGTACAAGTAACTTTATTCGCTATGTATTATTAAAAAGAATATTTTATAACTGATAAAAGCTAAACTAGATTAAATTTGAAACTACACTCAATATAAAAGTTGATTACTTTCATTTTTACGATAATTTATCACAAAAAATGTTCGATAGAAGTAACAGCTTTACCTTAGCTGAAATCTTGGAAGGAGAAGCGTCTATATTGAAGAATTTGTAGTCTACTTCATTCTGTACAGCCCTGTTTACTCCAACATCAGCGTGTACTTCTGCATCAATTTGGCCTGAATGCATCAAGTATAAACGCAGCACAAATTTCATTTTTGAATTTAAAAAATATTAAAGTAAAAAAGAATTTACCTGGTTTGACGGGAACTTTTTCAGCAAAAAGTTCATCAGTATTCCTCACTTCGTCTTTTTTACTTCTTTTGCCTTCTGTTGACAACAAATTACCGATACTCTACAATAAATGTTTTACAAAATATAAATTACTTCGAAAAGTAGGAAATTGGAAAAATCCACTCAATATTATTCATATAAATACATTTTAACCTTTTGAGGTTCAATGGCAGCACTCAAAATTTTGTTCTGATCATCGACATACAATAAAAGTTCGTCCTTCCAATAATTGGGTGTAATTGGTATGATGTACACGTCTATATTTTCTGCTAAAATGATAGATTAGAGATAATTTATTAAGTAAAATACTAATCTGAATTTAGGAAAAAATAATTAAAACTTTAACAGAATAAGACTGAAATATTGTATCGTTTAAAGATACAATGTTTCAATTAACAAAAATATTAAACATACTTTCAAGTTCAGCAGCAGTAATAGCAGCAGTTTCTATGGAATCTTTAGAACTACCATCCGTGAGAATCACAAAAATACGTCGTCTTCGAGGACTTCCGCTAGAGAGTTTTATTTGGGACAAAGCAGCATTTATTGCTGTAAAGTAAAAGCTTTTTCAAAAATTAATTGCTACTTTTGATTTTATGAAAATTCAGCTTTCTTTACTGCGATTATGCTTTTAAGAAAACTTGATTCTTATTCGTGATTATAAAATTTTTAATTGATTTATTTTTTATGATTTAATTTGATATATAAGAAATAATTTAATTTGAATTATAAGAAATTTAGTTTATTCTGAAAATCAAAGTATTAGTTACCAGTAGACACTGATGCATTGCTGTGTTCATTTTTTACACTGCTCAATGCATGAAGTAAATCGTCTTTTGTGGTAGAATTTGTGAGTTCGATTTCAACTTCTGCGTGGTCAGTAAAAGTTATCAAAGATACTCGTACTTTTGATCCATAATCTTTATCAGGTATCTTCTGTAGCAAATCTTCTAGCAAGCTCTTTGAAACTTCAAAGCCTTCATTTTCTGATGTCGACTTATCAATTAAAAGAATAATGTCGACTTCTCCTGTAATCTTATATTTGACCAAAGCAAAAATAAATTAGAACAAGCAAGGTTTTCACTGATTTTTTTATTATAATAGTCGAAAGCTAAGGGCCAATGATTTCGGTGATATAAAATTTTGTATCAAATGAATTCTAAAATTGCTATTTGTTTATTACCACTGCAAAATGGCTGTTTAACGGACAGGTAATAAAATTTTAGCTAGAAACTCTTATATCACAATGCATGTAAGCTTTTAATCAGATTAAAGTGCCATTTTCCATTTAAAAGTTTTAAAAAATTACAATTTTTATTCAAAATTAATAACATTCTACTGAAATTGTTTTAATCCTGCGATTATTTGTACTGTATTTTACTAAAACTGAGATGAAAGTTGAATGTTTGATGGATAAAATTCATCGCCGTACTACAAAATGCTTTTGGCATTGCTCAAATAAAATGAAGATCACTGATAATTAATTGTCCAGTTTACTTGCTCATTGGTTATGTTCTATTTTTAGAGAATAAAAACGAATGAAGTAAGTTTTTAACTTCACAGACACCTTCAACGATAATTTTTAGACAATACCATTTTGGAATAAGTTTGATGGAATTATTGCTGTAGTCGATTTTCTATCATATTCATTACTTTCATCTGGTAATATTGCCAACAAACTGCCTGTAATTTAACATTTGTGGTCCATTATTTATGGTATAATTTGCAATAGAATAGAATAATTATTACTTGTAAGTCAAAAGATGACATACTTACCAATATCTTTAATGAATTGACGTACTCGTCCATTCACGTAAACCCTCCATTTTTCATTTGTAATTGCCTCCAGTTGAGAGAATAAATAATTGTTACTCGCACTTACAGCATAAATAACCGTTTTTGGTAATTTGTGTAATTTTCTAAAACTTTTATGTACTGAATATTTTTTATAATTTTCAAATTTGTGAATACTAATTTTCAAATTTGTAATTTTGTACCTGACAACTTGAGACAAAATTTGCTCAACATCTTTACCACTACCATTTGTGGCTACAATAATTAGCAGTTGGGCATCTGGACGTCGAGATTCTATCACATACTACAATATATCGCATCATACTTTATTGATTTTATATTAGTTACATTAGCATTTTTTTAATTTTATAATAATACTATTATCACTTTTGTCAAAATTAAATGCAAAAAAATGATGATAATTACTAAAACATTTATTTAATAATTTAAAATATTATAATTCATTTGTATGTATAAATAAGTTTTAGTGAATTAGAAGAATAAATAACCTGATGCGCAAGTGTGATTGCAGCTACAAGAGAAGATTCACCACCAGAAGTGTAATAATAATTGTCAATGGAAGAGAGACTTTGTAGAAGCTGCGTTTTGTTTGTAACTTTGTTCCATTTTAGGTCTACACGAGCTGTCTGAAATTTATCCCTTCATCACAATTAAGCAAACAAAAATAGTACTCAAAATAAATAAATTTGCTTCGATCATTATTTATTATTAGTTTAAATTAAATATATTACTGTATAAAAATAATTTACCGTACTGAAAGTAAGAATAGCCACTCGGTATTGGTCATTTTTAAAACTATCCTCACTTATTTGACTGATCAAATCAGTCATTAATTGTACTTGATTTTTCAAATCAGAAGGCGATCCTGGTGAGCGGTCGATAACAAGAAGAATATCCACTGAGTCATTTAAAAATTCATGTGAAGACATACTGTTGATCTACAAGGATACTATTAATTAAAGGATAAGTAAGAATAATTAAGACTTGAAAAGAGATATAGCCAATTAGAAAAAGAGAAAAGCACACAAAAAAAGCAAGCAACATTAAATTAAATCAAATCTCAAAAAATGATAATAGAAGGCAAATTAATAAGCGAACAGCTAAGAAAAAGCTGTCCACTTGCTTTCAATCTCAATGGTCAAGAATCCAGATTCGATGCTTTCATTCACTTCTACATTTTCTAAACTAACCAACAGTAATCCAATATTAATTATTGGCTTCTGATATCAAATTTGTTTGCATATCAAAAGTTGAAATAGTAAAATTACAAATTTTTTCCCGCTAATGTATTAATTAGATGCTTATTTGAATGAATGGTAGACAAGTTGAAAGTGTTCGGATTCTGCTTTATTCCTTCTCAATCACTGATAAATTCACTTGGATTCAATGCTGTCAGCAATTTATCTGCTATGATAGTCGTAGCATTAGTTTTTACCTCATATTTTTTTCCATCAATCTTACTTATCTCCAAAGTATTATCGTTTTCTTCTTCCTTTCTGAGTTGATCTGTTGAATTGACTGTTTTAATTACTGGTTCAAAATCAGATGCAGAACTATGATCAGGAATTGCGCTTAATTCGGATGTGGAATTGTTTGTTCCACGAAATTGAATAATGTCAGTATCAATACAATCATTTATTTTCGAAGCAATCTTAGAAATAAATCTGAAAAATAAAATTATTAACGGATAAAATTATTTATTCGCCTGTTTGCTTTTTAGCTGCTAGCTTAATTTTTAGTACAAAAATTCACTGCTAAATTTATTTTACAAATTTTTTGCATCTGATTTTGAACTAAATTAATAAACGTACTATGAAGTATAGAGGAAGTAATTTTAAAATATTATAAGTTAAAGTAGAGTATTAAATATTCACTTATACTGTTCCTCTCTTCCACGATAAATTCGATTTTCATCTCCCGTGTAAAGTCTTAGCTCAGCTAAGTTGTAATCTCGACTTGTTGGTAAAGCGAAAATTTCAGCCTTTGAATTCTGAAGCTTTTTGCCAGCTAATTGCGCTACATGCCAGAATTCTTGTCCATTTCCATCAGATATCAAAATAATTATCTGAAATTAAATAAATTTTATTTTATCATTTTCTGGATAAAATTCAGCATAAAAATCATATGTAATCGTTAACTGTGTAAACGAATAATGAATTACTTGAATTGCATCATTCCTTCGCCATTGAGATAAATCTTCTAATGCCAATTCAACGGCATTTGCAATTCGTGTGCCACCACCAGTAAACTTAACGCTTTTCAATAGTTCTATAATTTCTTCACGTGTTCGATTTAATTTAGACGGAATCAAAATTTCTGCTGAAGACGAAAAACGCACCAATGACATCTGTAACAGCAAATTCTAATAAATGTTGCAATAATATTTGATACTACTACAAATAAAGTAATTTAAAACAGACTAATAAGAAAAGAATAAAGTCACTCGATATCAGTAACGTGTGTAATACCTGAATTTGACCATTTTCAAATGATTTTAGTTTCAGTAATTGTATCAAATTACGTGCTAAATCGCGTTCATCATCAAACGTACTATATACAGAGCCACTTGAATCCAAGATAATCACAATATCAACCTATACATAAAAATTATCAGAACGTAATTACTCAGCACAAATAATGATTAACTTTAATATAATTAAAAAACGCTAACTTTATTAGCTTTGCATTCACTTTCTGAACTTAAATTTTGTTCTAAATCTGCAGCCATTTTCGGTCCAATTTTTAATCCAAGTGAGTTTTCTTGATTTATCGTGTTTATTTTAGTACCTTGAAGGAAATATCGACACGAACCAATGACCTAATAATTAAACAAGAAAATATAAGACAAAAATATCAAAAAGGTTGCATATTATCAGTTTAAAAATTACAATTATATCTATTACTGTTTTATAAATGAGCTGATTTCAGCAAACTGCAGATATCTTTGTTGCTTTCTTGATATCTTTAATTACAAACCTTACTCAGCTAATTTGACTAAATTGTACATTTTGATACAAAATTTGCAAAAATGATGTTGAAAAGTATTTTATTACTGTATTATTTGTGGTGGATTTTAAAAAATGAGAAAATGACTTATAAATTTTGATTCTTTTCTTTTGGCAAATAAAATAATTTTAGTTTTGCTTTTACGCTGAAGCATTTGCCAAATCACTTTAATTAATTAAAGTATCTTTTTTGCTTTATCTCTAACTTTTTTAAGTGCTTGCAAATGCATTATGCCAAGAATGCAATTTAAATAAAATGAATTTGAGTTCAATAAAATATCAATTTACTTTTTCCAATTCTACAAGGAAACGATTACGATCAGATGCGTTGGCATACACGTGATGTCGATTTGACGTGTAACCAATGAGTGCAGGCATATTCGGTTCTTTTGTTGAAGTGACTGCGAAAATAATTGCACGTAAATTTTCCAATCTATTTCTGTAAAAAAAGAATAGAATCAAACATTAGATCACTTTGTAATTTATTTTATAACGCTTATACTGTCAAAATGCGTGAATACTGAAGGGAGTAAGTGAATGTAATTGTGGTTCTAATTGAGGAATTAGATATTTTACTTAGCTTCCAGAGTTTCTGGAATTAAATCAGATGATATGCCATTATGAGCTAGGATGACAAGCTTGGTGGAATCAGGACGACCATAATCTGTAAATTGCGCTGCAGCTAAATCAAGCGCACTCGCTGGTGAACTATCAGATCTGACACGAATTCTTAACGTTTTTATTGTTTTTAGTACCTAAAATATTCGGTAAATTACAGAAAACAATCTATTAGATAATTTTGCTAATAAAGTTTTTTTTATCAAGTTAGACATAACTAAAAGTAAAACTTAAACGATTAAAATTTTTAAAGAAATCCATTGATAATTTTTTTTGCAATTTTTATTGCTTTATTTTTATTTTTTGAAATATTCTCCGGCAGTTTAAACTTTTTTAAAAATTATTCCAGTAATTATTTTAAAATATTTCACAGTACTGCATATAACTCCCAAAGTTTTAACTTTTAATATTGTAAGAAAAATTAAAAAATTATAGAATATGAATGGTATTATAATGAATTGAATTAATTCATAAAAGCGTTTGAATCCAAAAATTAATTAATAAAAAAACGTGTGAATCTTGTATTAAGTGAAAAATCTAGTGAACGTGAACCTTTTCTGGTTTTGTTGCAAATGTTGACACTAACGAGCTTAAAATAAAAGGACGTTTGTGGAATGCTATGATACTGTATAATGCCGTGTTATTTGTTGAAATCTTATGTAAACTCCTGAAAATTAGCATTTTTTACTTGAAAATAATAAAATTGAAATTATATCATTCATAAAACAATTATTAAGTACAAATAATTTGCATGCAGTTAATAATTTTACCATTTTGTTCAATATTATTAGCATATAAATAATACTTAATTTATAATATGGTAATCAAATAAGAATAGCAAACATTTTATTACTCTTTTCAAATAAATATTGTTTCTTGAAATATTATGCAATTGTAAATTTGCATAAAAATGAATATAGCAAAATTATTTGCACTCACTGAATGATATCAGCAACTCGTTTTTGTTGTACAATAATATCATCGATGCTTTGAACATTTGTATCAAACAAAATTATCACATCCAATAGTTTTTGTTTGCATTTTACTGCAAATAGCAATTAATTTTATTGAGAAAAAATCAAACAGTTTAGAAAATGCAAATATTTTGTATGCAAATTTTGTTCAGCACAGTCAAATAAGCTTTTTGAGTACTTAGCAAGAAGAATGAATTAGTCAGCTTATTTTGATTACTTTAATTGAAAAGACAATTAATTATTAAATGAATACGTCAATATTGTTTTGAATTATTTTGAATTTAAGCAAAATTAAAATTCAATTACAAAATTTTGAGTAAAGTTTTAATTTTCTGAATCATGCTGCAAACAATTGAATTTAAAATAAAGTATGCCAAGAAGTGAGTTGAGTGAAGTTATCAATCAAAAATTAAACCTTGTCTTGAAATCTGCGCATTTATTGAAACAATGAGAACAAACGACAATACTGCCTAAAATATTGCATATTATAATTAGTTATTACTTGTAAATGAATTTAAAATTATATATATTTAGCCAAAATACTTATTCATTTAAATGCAGATATTCACGTAATTACCGTCAAGAAGAAACATTCGTTCGTCATTAACAATAACTCTTTTGCTACGCTATTGTCTCTTCACGTTTGTTTGCCAGAAGTTGGTAAGAATCTGTTCAAATTCAGAATAACTGCAAATTTCTCGACTTTTCTGACGTTACTTTTGATTCTGAACTAGACTTTATATTGTTAACACTAATAATTCTGCCATTTTATGTTTTAGTAATAATCAAATATAATACACTTGACTGATTGTTATTGCAAAAATCAAATAAAAGCATACCATTTCGTAAAATTTGCACATTAATTAGTTAATTGAATAAATAATTTCTTGAAAGGTTAAATTTTTGATTTTCACTGTAATCTTTCAGTTTATTACAAGTCAGAATTGTTCAAGCAAGTAAAATGTTTCCTTTATAAAATATAGACAACAACATTTATCAATACAAACAAAATATGGAAACATGACATGACATGACATGATATGATATGATATGATATGATATGATATCTTATCACTATTTCCAGCAAATGTAACGTAACCTTTAGCGTCTTTCCAACATTTACAACTGACCTTGTAAAACAGAGCACTCTGTCCTTGAATGCTGCAGTTTTAGACATTTAATTAAAAATTAACTTTCATTTCTCAAAAAAAAAAAACTTCTGTCCTTCGAAGTAATGAACTAATTATAAAGAAAAATTATCAGGCACAAAGACCAAAATTTACGTGATTCTTATGCGTAACACGTGGGCAATAATGAAGTAGTATTTTTATATTAAAAACATCGCGTATAGATTACTTTACAAAAAAAGTAGACTAGTTCTCAAAAAACTCATTTTTAAGACATAATTTGCTGATAATATTTGATGAAAATTTGCTAGAATTGAATTCACAAATTTTGATTTTAACGCATAAAAATATGTCATATTTAAAAAAAGATTAATGTAAGAATTCAAATAAGAACATCCTCCAGATTAGATACTTTGATAAACATGATAAGAATAGTTTTTACAAAAATTCAAAAGAATAAAGACAAACAAAGGATAAACAACAACAGCAATAAAATTTATAATCATATCAGTGATAAAAAGACTCACACTTTGCTGCAAAGATCTTTATCAGTGATGTCCACAATGATTCTTGAATAAAACAAAAATGCAAAACTATTGTTTGCAATAAAATCTAATAATTAGTTCATAAATAAATAAAAAGAATTCTGAAGCTACTTCAACTATACTCCCGATTACTATTCATCTTATTCAAGCATTATGAATATTCCCAAAGATTTCAATTGCCTTCCAGTCTAGCACTCTTTACAAATAAATAATCATAATTTTTTACAATTATTTACAATTAATAATTTAATTTGAAATCAAAAACTATTTTATTTTATTAAAATGAAAGCAAAATTTAAGAGTTTATTTCTAAAGCAATTTTTTATTTCATTTTTTAAAAAAAGAAATCTTTTTTAATTTTAGAACAAAATCTATTTCATTCATTAAAAAGTTGATCATTCATTTCTGCATTATCCTTCTTAATGAAGTGTGAAATTTAATTTTACATTTGATTATTTTATTAAAAAAAAAAGAAATATTTCGTACTTTCAATTATTAATCACTTTGATCTTTTTTCAATTTCAATTAATTCAATAAGACATTTTTCCTAAATTTTTAACACAAAAATTTTAAATAAAAATTAAACTACAATAAACTCAAATTTTTTTTAATTGATATAAAATACAAAAATAATTCTGAATAAAAATTAAATCAAAATAGTACGAAATAACTTATTTTCATTAATTTTTAACGCCATTACTCAATTCATTTGAAATACTGTTCATAATATTTGTAAAACTATTTTTATTTAAGCTGAATCTTATTAAACCAAATTAATTAATATTAGTAGAATAAATGATCAAACATAAACCTAATTGCAATTAACTTAATTCATTTTTATTTAGTGAACAATACTGTAGCAGAGTGAGTTTGTTTGCAAGAAATGCAAGTAATAGATACTACTAATTTACAATTCCGTAAAATTCTTGATATAAAAGTATTCTCGGCCGAGAATTTTCTGTCATGAGAATCACTCATAAAAGAGGACAAAAAATAAGATTAATTAACATTTTCAGCCGAAATTACTTTAAAGTTCTGAATAAAACCTCTCTTTTCCTTTTAAAATTGTTTCAAATAATTTGTATTTTTTAATTGTCACACGAATTTCAAATATAATTTACGCATACGAAATGAATATTTATTTCTATTATAATTAACTTGAAATAGTAAACAATAAGATTTGTTAATGCGTTATATCTTATTGTCTTTATTTTATATTAACAACTGAAAGAATAATTCCACTAACATTATTTCTAGACTATTTTTAAAAATAAATAGAGCAATTATTTGATTAAATTAGAAGTGCGTAATCTAAGCTTTAATTGCCAATCTCGAAAATAGATATTAAACTTTAAAATATTTTGATGTATGATCAAATTTTATCACTGCAAAAATTATATTTCAGGATAAAATTTTCATTTATTCGAAAAATAAAATTGCTTACATCGAATATTTTGATTAATGAGTGTGATATGAATGTAAAAAATTAAAAATTATATCACAGCCAAAAAATTAGTCTGTTTTTGTTTTCATTCACAAACTGTACACGTGAAAACGTCTTCTTCACCATCCCTATACTTATCCAATTTAACTTTTCTTATTAAATAGTCTTAATATGAAAAAGTGAATTCGAAAAATCATTAAATAGATTTTTACTAAATTCCAAAAATAATTTATGTTACGCATTATCGAGAGTTTGAGCTGAAATATAACTAACTGCTTTCTGTGCAAAACTGAAAACGTAACTTTTGAAGTACAGCATTCGCATAACTGAATGCAAAAAATTATATCAGATTTGATTTTAGGTGCAGAAAATATTAATTTCGTGTTGGGAAGCTAAAAACTGTAAAAGGAAAAATATGGATAAGATTTAATATTTATCTGAGAGTTAAGCAAATTTTGTATTTTTAAGTGGAAAATTTGATAATTTTTTCATCGTAATATGTGAGGTCTTATTATTAAAATTTCTAATATGGCAATGTCTATGTTTTATTCTATTATTTATAGCGTTTTCACGCTACGAAACACAATCGCATTGCTATACTTAACACAAAATAACTATTTATTTTTGTATTTAAATAATTGTTATACTGAAGAAAGTTAGCAGAAGGAAGTGTACAAAAAGATAACGATATCCCGAAATCCAACGTAAAATTTGAAAATATTTTTTTTGATTTACAAAAACTGACTGACTATTCAAAAATTAGCTATTCAGATGGTAGCACAAATTAAAGTATGACTTTTGTGATAAAACTAGTAAGAAATTTTTTAATAAAAATATTAATAAGTCTACCTTTTCTTACATTTTATTAATATTAAATTAATTATTAAAGAAAGTGATACTGATTAATCGTTAACAAAAAGTAAAGAAATAAATGTAGTCAAGAAAATTGACATGCGCAAGAATTATATGTAGACAAAAACACATGGAAGAATTACTTTTTTTGTCCGGGATAAAAAATGAGGGATAAAAAATGAAAATTCATTAATCTAAGATAGATTTGATTCAAGCAGCATTAACATCTGGCAGCCTTTCTGGGAAATACATCGTATTCTTGATACTCATCTTTGTTGATTACAAAATATGAACTGGTTCTGCAGTAAGAATCCTTAAAACTAGGATAGAATATGTACATATATATATATATATATATATATGTAAATACAAATTCATATTCATGTATAAGAGAAATAGTCTCAAGAATCAGTGATCGTTCTGAAAAACTGATCCGAAATTTAAATTTATTTACTACGTGGATTAATTTGTGAGTAAGAAAAGTGATTTCATTATGTGTCGTCAATTTCAGTGCGCATTCTACACTTTGTCATCTTTACAAAACGATAACAATAACACTATAAGAAGTAGCTGAAATCATTTTCTGACACCAATTTCTGTCCTTTCTCAATTCTTTCTTCGCTCCGATTATTCCTTTTTCACTTTTCATCACTTCTCTTCTCTTTTTTTCATTTCACTTAAATATGTTATAAATTAGAATTCCAGAAGTGAATCCACTGCAAAAGTTGTCATCATCTCAGCGTTACTTTGCATACCTCCATGACATATATATATATACATATTACTGAATAAGTTTGTAGTTATTACAAGATAATTTGTTGTTGACGTGTGTAGGAGTATGCGCACTGATGACATGCATCGATGGCATACATATTTAAATGCATAATTTCAATTATATATTTATCCCCTCAGGTAATCATTTATTTATTCTTGCAAATATTTGTAGAAGAAATTTTTTGCATAAGTTTAAATATGGTGATGTCAATGTACTGCATGCAAAATTACCAAAATAGTAAATAAATCTTTGTAATGGAAAAACTTACGTGTCTTGCAATTGAATTTTATAACAATTTAACATAAATCACTTCACTCTAAGTAACAAAGTAAGTAACACAGATATTTGGTTCAGTACAAAATGTACGCAACTCTTATCAACGTAATTAATTTAGCAATTTTTGTTAACAAAGATTATCATCTATAACGCAATATAATTTAACATATTTTGCATTGTAAATATTATTTAATAATAATAAAGTTTGTATACTGCAGTACTTGAATAATTATGATTATTAAAACAGAATTAAGATTAAAATTACAAAAATTTTTGTATAAATTTTGAACACAAATAAAAATTTGATAAAAGTATGGAAAGAAATAAAAGATAAGACATTATCACGACTTACAAGAAATTCAGATATTTAAAATTTGATTCCCCAATTTGATTCCCGAAATGTGACCATAATTAATCATATTTAAAACTTAAATTACTGAAAATCGGATTTAAGTACTGAAAAACTTGTAGTATGTTTTGAAAAAAATTAGGTCATTACACTGGCTATTTATTTATGGATAGAAGTCACACGCCCCACATCCCAAATTGCATAAACTTAATTTTTTTTACATATTTTACTACTTCATCATAAATCTTTTTCATGAAATGCAGTTCTCTGCAAGATCTTTAATTTTTTCTTCTTTTTCAGTTAGGTGAACTTTACTGTTCAAATCAAAGATTTAAGGGTCATGTGTGATAGCAGCAGTATACTCTATAATAACTTCACATTGAGCCCACATCTTATCTTTTGTTCATAAAATTTATATAAAATCAAAAAATATATACCAAATAATTGCAACAAATACTGTATTCAAAATCAATATTCAACGAATTGTATATTTACTCAAAAATATTTGTAATATATTTAAAATACAGAAATGAAATTTAGAAGTGAGCATAATTTGACACAACAGCAATGACAAAAAACAAAAACAAAAAGTAACACGCTAAAAATATACTTCTATGAACAAGTCGAGTAGCGATCTAGTCTTGTCACTCAATTTTTGAAAAAAACCAGAAATTATTAAAAAACATTAACATGCGAACAAAACGAGCTATCATTCTTCAAGCAGTACTCAGTGAATATTAATGTGTGCTATATGAAGCAATGATACAATGTTTTGTGCAAACAAACACAGCAGTACCATTCATCAAAGAATATTTGCATCAAGTTGGAATAGAACTACTTGCAGTCAACCTTGAGAATACCTAAAAAAAATTTTTATTTCTCATTTTGGCTCCATATTTTATGCAAATTCTTGATCTCAATCTCAATCCCAATTCATATTCTTTATAATGTACAAAAATTCAATCTGTTTTACTTTGGCTAGAGGGATATATCGTAACACCTAATGAATTAATCCATGGTAATATGCAAATTTTCACCGGTCAATTTTCAAAGGACACCCGAGCAAACGTATATATTTATATTTATACACGTTTGGAAATGAAATGAATCTTTACTTACATGCGAGGAGGAAAGCATAATAGTATCAACTTTAAAATAACATACTACCACTCAAACTTTTTTGAATAAGAGATATTGAAGTGCAATAATGTCTACAACTTGAAATGAGTAAGTAATGCATAAAGACGAAAGGAAAAATAATGAAAAAGACACAAATAAATGTTTATACAATTCAAAATGAGCGATGGTAACTATCATAATAGAAGTTAAGTGAAAATAACTATTTTACACATCGGTGACCTGGTCGTTGGTTACAAGCATCATTTTATCACTTTCTTCCTTGGTCATTCTTCTGGGAGGAACAGTCGGCCTCAAATCCGAATGTGGTGCTGCAAATTTTCAATTAATAAAAGTCAAAATAATCAGATTTTCTTCTCAGAGATAGAATTGATTTCAATCTACTTTAAGCACTAAAATAAACGTGAGATAAGTGAGTGATGTACGTAAATTATACAAATGTACCTATGACAGAAGAAGAAAGTTCTGGTTTTACATCAGCAAAAGAATGCTGTCTGGATGTAGTTGCAACGCTGGCTGTTGATTCAGTAGGAGAGGAGACAAGTGAAGAAGCTCGCATAGATTGTGTGTCGGAGGATTCTTCCAACTCATAAACTGGATTTGAGAATGTTGTCGATGAAGGAACATCAGCAGCTCGAAGTTGTGCCATACTATATTCTACTTGCGTACTATCACTCTGAAGGAGCTTTACAGATGTATTTACTTTTTTTGATAATATATTCATTCATGTAAGAGCAAATAACTGACTGGTTTAGGGTCAAGAACAGGATTACTGAATGAGATGACATTGCCATGGAATGAGACTGCTCCATCTGCTGCTTCGTTTTTCTTAAACAGCAACATCCGTTTTCTGTACAAGCTTGTTCCAATTAGAGTCATCAACGTGACGCACGCTAACAGTGAGATGAACAATAATGCTGCCAAGATAGCATTTGATCCAAATCCACCAATGAGCTAAAATTTAATTTTTAGCTATATTCTTAGCTATTTTTTATTTGTAGCTAGCTTGTGATTAGCCGCAAATTATTCATATTTTCGTAATTAATCACATTCCAGCTATTATTTCAAGAAGGATTAGAATCATCTTAAATTGAAAAATATTTAGTATAAACGAATACACAACAAGATATTGAGAGTGTGTGTATTAAGCATCTGAAAGCAAAAGATGGCCTATTTTCAATACTGTTGAAAAATTTGACCTCTCATAAATAATGCTGATGTTTGTTTGCATTCTATCAGATGCACAATCAATCAGAAAATGTTACACTCGTCAATTTTTTTTCTTTACAAAATTCGTGAAACAAATAACCAACTTGTCGTGAGACTGTGGAACCTCTCTGGCACTGCTCCCCTTCAAAATCGCCACAATCACAGCTGCCATCTAATTTGCATATACCACCGTTTTGACATTCACACTGTTTTGGCATCGGCAGTTCATCCACCTTAGTACCAGCACAGAAACCATCCTGCAAAAAGCACAAAATTATTTCTATATTGCATTGATTGATTAGTCGAGATTACTGAGTAAAACCACAGTGTCATGATACAAATCAATCTTTGAGATGACATCGAAATTGAAACCACTTCAATTCACAATCTGTTTTTCGACTGCTATTAAAACTATAGCGGAAAAAGTAATTTTCTAGTTACTATTTTTCTGTACCTACTGACTTAAGTGTGTACAGAAGAATATTTTCAAATATAAATTGTCATAGCAATTCTTGTTAACCGTCAAAACCTGAAAAATCATCCTTTCTCTTTAATTTTGTTTTTAAGTAAATAACAACAAAACTGCTTTAGTTTGATTAAATACTCATACTTAGATTAGTTAATATTTCAAAAATCCTTCTGCTTTTAGCTTAAAATTTTTCTTAGACTAACATCAAGTTGTGAAGATTCGTCAGGACATAAACACGTATAGGCATTACGAGGTAATTCAACACATAAATGACTACAAGCTGCCTGAGAGCAAGCTGATACGGCACGTGAAGTATCACGTGCGAAACGCTGTTGAACACGAACACTATGCGCATTTGTTATATCAGAAGCCAACACACTAACACGACCACGTCCAAATTTATCCTGCAAATAATTTTATCTACTTTTTCTGCAATACAGTTATTAGTGATAATTTTAATATATTGTCAAAATATGATCTACCTGGACATATAGATCTCGAGTTTCTTTAGAGGCCCAGTACAAATTATTTTCAAAAACATCTATCGTCCATGGCATACGGTGATCTACTATAATCGTCCTTCGTTTGGTACCTTTAAATCATTGAACTACATTTATTGGGACAGCAAAATTTGAAAAGAAAATGAGGAATCAAGATGATTGCTACGATCAAGCAAAGTAAACATCTCAATCATTAATAATAAGCTTTTCTCTAACTGTTAAGAATACTTTTTGCCTAATGTTAAGAATATCAAAGTAACCATCAGGTAAGACGGATTCCACTTTGTGATATTTAGGATCTGCCCAGTACAACCGGTTTTCTTTGCCTTCATCAACAGTTAATGAAGTAGGAGAATAAATGAAATCTTTAATTATAACCTGCAAAAGGCAAAAAAATTTATTCGCTTATTCAGTACAATTGTCAAATCTTTCTGGTCGATGCAATCAATGTAGTAGATAATAAATTTGCATAAAAATTTTAAAGAAACTTCATAATTACTACTGATAAAATTATTTAAAAATTTATGCTACACTAATTTAAAATTCTTTTTCTCAAGAATCGCATACATCACGATGTTTTCCATCCATGTCAGCACATTCTATTTTGGCACTGAAACCAGCATCAGCAAAACAAATTCGTCCAAGTTGTGGTAACGTAACAACAGCAGTTGGAATCTGAAGCCGTCCTTTGATTACGGATCGCATATAACGACCATCAGATTTCGCCAAATAAATTGCTCCTTCATCTTCTGCACTTGCAGACTGATCAGTATTTCGTTTCTTTCTAGCCATGAATCCGACTATTCCTTCATTTGGTATTGCTGCGAGATATATATTACTAAAATAATGCATTTAATTTTACAAATTTATTGTTTTAAACAAGAATACTTGCTATGATTTGCAAAAAAATTTTTTCACTTGATACAACTATCATTTCAAATATTCACTCACCCTGTCAGGTAATCTACAGATAGTGCAGAAGGTGACAATTTCAAATCCTTGAAATCTATATTCAGTTCTTGGCCAGCATGTGACTGATTACCTAGAATACATTGCTATTTATAATGAATGAATTCTTCATTGCTTTGACACATTTATACAACTTACAAAGATTAATTTAAAGCAAAAAAGAAGTTTCTATTTTACAATTTTCACCTTTAGGTAGTGCAGATCTGTATACTTTACGTTGTTGACTATCAATCCAGAACATGAGCTGTCGACGTGGATCAAAGTCCACTGCGATAATATCATTTTGATTAGAAGTACCTGCTGCATGACGATTTGTGCTACTTGCGTGTGCAAGACTTAATTGCACCAATTCGCCATCTGTAGCTACTAATATCAGCGGTGCATCACCCTATAAATAAATTATTATTACATTTATTTTCAGCTAGATATAAATGAAATATTTTTAATAATTGTAAAAAATAACACAGTATGCAAAAAACGAATTAAATTTTTCAAAATTTAACCTTAGCACGACAATCCTTTCCAGTCATCGCTCCTACAACCACGTTGTTTTCATAGTCATCAAGACAACGGCAAAGATATGATCCTTTTGTATTCAGACAATTCTGAAATATTTTTGTTCTTAATTTTATTAAATGAATTTAATTTTTCCGATTTATAATTAGTATCAAATGACTTTTTCATATGTACAGCACATACGAAACTCTTACTTGCGTGCAAGTGTTATTTTCAGCGCACTCATCAATATCAATGCAGTCATAAGGATCTTCAGGATTCGGCTTAAATCCATCACGACAATGACAGTAGTAGCCATCACTGACATCTGTGCATAAATGTTTACAGTTACCATTTTCATTGTTTGTCGCGCATGTGATGCCTTTTCGTTTCGCTAAATAAATTTCAGAATATCGAAAAATAATCTTGAGCTACTTTTAATATATTTATTTTTCAAAAATTCATTCAATCTAAAAGATTTATTATTATAAAAGCAATAATTGATTAATATTGTACCTAAAATCTAAAAAATAAAACCGGAATTACCTCAATAAAATTGAAAACTTACAATTAACTTTTAATAATAACTCATAAATTTTGAAGAAAATAATAAATAAATAAGACGCGCATTACCACATCCGATTTCATCGCTTGCATCCCCACAATCATCATTTCGATTACAAGCCAAAGATGCATTGATGCATTTGCTATTAGTGCATTTGAACTGATTAGTAGTGCAATCACCATATTCAGAAAACGAGCTGCACATTGAAAGATGCTCATCTGAGTAGTCAAATGGCCCACAATCATTAACTCCATTACATAACTGCAATTTTCTACCAAATTAGAAACAAAATCCTCACCGACAAGATTAATCTCTATTATCATATTTATCATTATTCAACATAAAGTATAAGTAATTCAAGAAAAAGTATTTCAAAGAAAACCTGTAAAATGTTGAGACAAAGTCTTGAATGTGCACAGCGAAAACGTAAAGGTGGATCGCAAAGAGCACTTTTGCACTGCTCACTTGTTTCATCCGAATTATCGCCACAATCATTATCACCGTCGCAAATGAATTTTCGCGGAATGCATACTGAATTACCGCATTCAAATTCGAATGAACTACATTCACGACGATTTGGCTAAAATAATATTATGCAAAAATGACTGATAAAATATTATTTGGTTGATAATTGCTAATGATATTAACAAAAGTAGATTACATAATTTTCGCAGTGTAATTCATCAGAAGCATTAGGGCAATCACGTCGACGGTCACACCAACGATGTTGCAATATGCAAGTACCATCATCACACTTCATATATCCTTTGTTGCATTCACGCATTTTGCATTGCGATTCATCCAAGCCATCACTACATTGAACTGTTCCATCGCAAACCTATTAATTATTCATTTTTCAAAGTTACATAAAGAATAATTTAATGTGTGAGATTAAATTTCATGGAAATAACTTTTCAAAGAGTTATTACTTTTTAAATCAATGCTCATGAATTTTTTTGTACCTTTACAATTTTTGATAAAGAGCATAATAAGACCAAAGAATATACAAATATCTTACTTTACTTCCCGGAATACAACGACCATCACTGCATCGAAATTCTGATTCCGAACAAGGCCTTGATGTCCCTCCACACACAGGATCCGTTTCATCAGAATCATCTCCGCAATCATTTTCACTATCACACATCCACCTTCTGAAAAGACAAAGTCATTACAAGCCATAATGCCGAAGCTCATTGAAAAATGTGACTTATCAAGCAGTTTTTGAAGAGTAAAGAACTATGTACAAGAGTTATTACCAATGTGAACAAAGCACTAACTTCGGAATACATTTGCCAGATGTAGCGCATCGAAATTCTCCAATATCATCGCAGGCTGGACAACGTTCAATTATCTCATCAGAATTATCACGACAGTCGTCCTGTCCGTTACAGAAAGCCCAATTCGGTATACACCTAGAAAATACACTGTTGTTACTTCAGCATATGTAATGCATTTGACAAATTCAAGATTAATTCATTGAAAATCCTTTAGCTAATGCAGAAAATGAAAAGCATAATGATGCAACACAATTCGTAAAAGGTAAATAAAGCAGATTTCTTAGAAGGTACAATTTCAAATTGCATTTTCTAAGTCTTTCAAGTAAATACCTATAAGACGTGGAACATCGAGTCCATCCTTTATGACATTCAGTATTAATGCATTCTGCAGGTTCATCAGAACCATCACCACAGTCATCATCATTATCACATCTCCACATTTTTGGTATGCACTTATGATTATTGCAACGAAATTCTTCCGCAGTACAATTGCGCTCTTTATTTTCTTCAAATAAGTAATTATTACTTAAACATCATTAGCATGGTTAGAGTAAGCTTAAGCATTGATCAGTACATCAATAATTTATATTTCTTTATAGTTAACTCATAAAATTTACTCCATAATCCATTTTAATGCAGTATTTGAAAATGCTGAAAAATTTTTCGATTCAGAGATTACATTGCAAAGAAGCAAAAATTAGCTTATATCCTTCTTGGCACCCTTAGTAATGTTAATTAGCTTTAAAACATTAACATTACACTTTAATAATTCAGCAAATTTAGAATGAACAACATGAAAGAATTTTAAATTTCTGAGATTCTATTATTTTGAAAAGAATAAGTAATGAATGAACGAACTACATATAACATCAGATTCATCGGAACGATCACCACAATCATCATCTCCATCACAAGTAAATCTTTTTGGAATGCATTTACCAGTTGTTGCACATTTAAACATCCATGGGTCACAAGGCTTGTCGCACTCCACCTAAAACAAACAGTGAAGCAAAATTTGAAATTATTAAAAAGTTTTAGAAAGTAGTTTATCATGCATAACACTTTATAACGAATGCCATTTATATAAAAATAATGCTTCGATGGAAAATAATTCACAATTGTGTTAGAACACATTATTCAATGAATGATAAAACGAAGTCTTGAATCTTTTTAAATGTGAAATAATTAGCAACTCACTTCATCAGAACCATCGCCACAATCATTATTTCCATCACAAATTTGGAAAGGTCGCGTACAGTTATGATTAGCACATTGGAATTCACCAACAGCACAAATTCTTGGTCCTGGAAATAACCCAAATTTTTTCAAGTATTAGCAATTTTTGATACTCAAGACTGTAATAGAAACGTTTTGTGTAAACTATATTGTTACCACATATATCTTTTCCTGGTTCATCGCTACCATCACCACAATCTTGTTCTCCATCACAATACCAAAGTTTTGGAATACATTTGGCGTCTTCTCCTCCACATACAAACTGCCGATCGGTACAATGTGGTTCACAGGTTTTATTATCACTAAGAAGAATAAATTGATCTGGGCAAGCACACGTAAAACCAGGATCGTGAGCAGAAAGCAGACATAAATGAGAGCAGCCACCGTTATTAAGACCACATGAGTTTTTGAAATCCGGTTGTCGAAATGGATGAATAACCTGAAATTCTGATCAGACTCGTAAAAGACAAAATGTTGATAGCGATAAGAAATTAGCAAAATGAAGAGTATGAACAAACAATTTAAGAAGTTTATCTGCGTAATATCTGTGTTAATGTTTTAAAATAAAAAATGAATAATTGATGACCCTTATATCACTCGGTAATTGAATCGTTGTTTTTAAAACTGTTTCATTCATACCAGACCATTTGTCGACTCTAATAAGTTCACGCAAATTCCAATCAGACCAAAACAGATAATCATCAAAAACAGTCATGGATGAGATATGGGAAGTGCGCTTAGCAGGTATATGATATCTCGCACCACCGTCAAGGTTCATAAAGCCAACTTCATTCAAATGAGCATCGGCCCAGAATAATCTGAAATTGCAGTATGAATGATAACATGATAGAGATATGAAAGATAGGTAATCATAAAATATATATTTTGGATATGTTTGTTTTTTCAGTTCTTAAAGGCTAATCGCGCACACAAACTTCTCGCAATATAGAAAACGGCACAAGGGCTATCCCCCTCTTGGCATCCTCCCGAAACGGTCAAGAACCGTCTTCAGCTCCTTTACCTAGCTTCGATTCGAAATTACGGAAACTCGATTCGTCGAATGATAACCTTAGGCGTAATCATTTTGCTGGTTCCTGTCGGAGCTGAGAAAAGTATGTGCAGACATTGTGGGGAACGTGTAAAGACGATGGACCATATAGCAACGCAGGGCGAGAAAATGTTATATCGTGACGCTACTAGAAGATACAATGAGGTCCTGCGATGTATTCATTTAGAACTTGCAAAAAGTATAGTCTGAAAGTATTCTCAGTATAGCCATTCTGTTCAGAAAATGATCGCTAATGAGAACGTGGAAATCAGAGTCGTCACGCGAGTATGAACTGCATTTAGAATAAAGGCGAATCAACTGGACATCCGAGTACACTATAAGAAGCGACACGAAGTACTCCTGATAGAGATTGGCATCACTGGTTAGGACAGGTTGATGGCAGTCAAGACCAAGAAGAAATATGATTTACTGACTAATAAACTCGGGGCAGAGATGAAATGCAGGACGGAAATAGTTGTGTATGTGATGACTTGAGATGGAATGGAACTTCCATAAACTTACGCAAAGGAAATCAGTGCATCTGATCACCTTGAGGCATGTATCCAATGATAGTACTCAAGAAAACGCTCGAAAGCATCTAATTCGATCAGCGCTGTGGATTCGACGAGAACTAAGCAGCGGAGATCAAGACAGCAGAACTGAGTGCCGGGCGAGTACAGCGAGAGTGTCGGAATATGAAGGTGAGAATCAAGAACATGTAAAAGAGGATTAACCTCCGACATCATATATGCAAGTGTTACTACAAAATATTGCTAAAATCTCTTGCGCGGACTTTATATTTTTCAGTGAACTGACTGATTTATAAGTCTGAAGATTTGCTGTGTTATGGATAGTTCAAAAGAGATAGCTAGATTTCTTCTTTCAAGTATGAACGGCGGTTAGCAATTTTTTGGGGTAAAATTTGATTAGCAAAAGTAATAATCTCTTACTTATCAGCGAAGAAATCAATAGCAAGAGCATTTGGCCAGCCAAGATCGTTTTCAGCAAGTTTTTCGATGGGGTCAGCCAACTGAGGAGATCCATCCAAGGATATCCTCCCAATGTATGCTTGTAGACTCCATTCCGTAAAATATAAATAGCCCTTGCCAGGATGTATTACGATTGCCTAAAATAATAGCAACGAAATAAATTTTAAACATCGCTTAGCCAAGGAAAGACTTTTGCTAACTGAAATGAAAACGAAGTAGATAAACCTTTGGCTGAGTAATGCGATCACGTATAAGTGTTCGACAGTAACGACCATCTAACTCACAAACTCGTAACGAGCGTTCTTGTCGGTTTAACATGTACAGCTTTCGACCAATCCAGTCAATGGCAATGCCTATAAATTGTTATTGAAATTTTTACGATCTTCAGAATATTAACACTAATAGTCCTCATGATAATAGTAGTATTAATGATGAAAAATGCACAAATTTACCTTCTGTACCAAAAATATTATGTCTTAGTACAACTTCATATGAATCAATCGGTTGATCCAACTCTTCTAAACCAACTCTATACAATCGCAATTTTCCAGAATCGACAAGATATACCTAACAAAAATTCTTCGTAGCTGATATGAATTTTGACTTGTATCAAAATTAGTAGAGCAAACAAAGAAGACAATTAACAGACAGTCAGTAAAATATAAAATATCTAAAGCCAAAGAATTTTAATTTGTAACAGAATGCAAGTAACTTAGATTAAAATATGTTCTAAAATATTTACAATATTTACAAGTAAAATGTTTTATTTACAGCATACTTTTCTTTCCTTCATGTCAATATCCATTGATATAACATTCTCGAATCCTCGAGCTACTAACTCATAATTCTGTCCATCTAATGTAAGTTTCCTTATGTAATGTTTGTTTGCAAATAACAGCCATGGTTGTGGATTCTGTAATACAAAACTTTGCGCTTAAAAATTTTTATCACAAAGCCTTTTATCATCTAGCAAATTATATTATAATACATTTTTAAATGTAGAGTAAAATCAAAATGTGCTAAAAAGATTTACCAAATTAACTCGTTTGCATGTTCGTTCGTCGTTTGATAAAGCATAGCCATCAACACACCAACACTTGTAAGTACCAATTTTATTCACGCATTTCTGACTACAACGTCCCAATCCAGCTACAAAATTTACAGTGTTTGAGAACAATGATTCACTCATATATGGTAGTATGTTTGATAAGCTACCAAGATATGCCAGGAATTGAAATTATACTTTAAGCAAAATGAAAAATGCAACTGTTTTTATTTGTAATTTATTTTAAATGAGAAAACGATTAAGAAAACACTACTTAATACTTTAAAAGCTTAATTTTAATAATTTTTCATTTATTGAATTACGTAAAATTCTATCTATCATTAATAATGCACAAAAAAATGCTCACTTTCACATTCATCAATGTCATGACAGGATTTGTTATCAATTTTGTCAAGAGTGAATCCATCGAAACAATCGCAACGATAATCAATCGGTAAATCGACACATTTTTGCTCACATAACGGTTTTTCTGCCACGGCACATTCATTGATAACTACAAATTGTTGCAATATGAATTTACGTTTGTCAAGTCAATTATTGATTTTTCATCATGAAATTTCACGTACAGCATTTTGAAGATTCATCCGATCGATCCAAACAATCATAAACTCTATCGCATAATTTTGTTTCTACTATGCAATCTCCGTTATTACAACGGAAGTGACCTGCTGGACAGCTGCCTTCTTTCTTTGATATTGCATTTTTATCAGGGCAATCCTGCAAGTATTGCTTCTATCGAGTTAAATAAAGTAATCCTAGAAGTGATTAAAGTTTTAAGATATGTAAACTAATAACTACATGCAATTAATTAACAACTATTCTGACCTTTTCGTCGCTACCATCATTACAATCATCATTACCATCACATTTCCATGAATTTGGAATGCATTTATTATTACCGCATCGCCAGAATTCTGGTTGACATTTTGAATACGCTAAAATCGTAATATTCATGAATATTCGAAAAAATGAAAACAAAACATAAATACTATAAACAAATACTAACTGCAATTAGCGTGTTCATCAGAGCCATCAAGACAATCATTGTCGCCATCGCATTCCCAAGAAGCATGAATGCAATGCTTGTTGGCACATCTAAAATGAATTCAATCATTATAAGCATATTTGTATTTTATTTTCAGGCAAAATTTTTGCATAAATTTAAATAAAAATAATGTAGCAATAAAATTTAAAGTTATAAAAAACATATGAATGAAGCAAACCTAAATTCTCCTTTATTACATTCTTTTTTTTCTACACCACAAAGTTCTTTACTCTCATCTTCTCCATTAGCACACGTAACATCGCCATCACAAAGCCATGCTTTTGGGATGCATTCATATTTGGGTTGCGACAAACGCGCATTTGATTTGCAGTGAAATTCCTGCTCTGTACACGTACGGTTGCCTGAAAAATCAAACTCTTTGTTAATTACTACACAGTGTAATATATTTCATACTTTAAATAAGTATTAACTACTTACCGCAGTTATGAATGGTACTTTCATCGCTTGCATCACCACAGTCGTCTTCTCCATCACAAATAAACGCACGGCTGATACATTTCCCATTATCACACTGTAATTTGTAAGCATTCATTAATTTTATTTTTTTCATTGTTTAATCAAATTACAATATTTTACAGTATTTAAAATTGAATTACAATATTTACAGTACTTGACTACTTTAAATATTGTAATTTGATTAAATATTATTTTAATAATTTATAAACCTGAAATAGATATTCTCCTACGCAAATACGCCTGCCATTACTATCAGTACAATTAGTATGATTTTCATCCCAAGCTCCTTCTCCACAATCGTTGTCACCATCACATTGCCAAGTTTCTGGTATGCACCGACCACTGGGACAACGTACACTGCAAATGACATTATTTTCATGTCAATTATTAAAATAAGATGCTATAAAGAATACCAAAAGTTTATAAACAAGCAAAATTATTAATAATTAGTAATAATACACACCGCAATGAAAAATAACATTTAGTATGATAATATGAAAATCAGCAAAATCATGCCATAATATTTGGTTAAATTAAAAGTAAGTTTTGTTTTAGTATATATGGGCTTTTTATTGTAATAGAACAAACAATTTGAAATGTAAGAAACTTAAAGAACTGATAGCATAAGAAATATCATTAAACAAACTAATGCATTGCGCAGGGCTGGTTCATGCAGAAAAGTTTATTCTCATCAGCTTTATCACCACAGTCATCATAACCATCGCAAAGATCAGCAGGCTGTATGCAAATATTAGTATTCGGACAACGTATTCGTACTCCACGACAATTAATAGGTGAATCTCGGCATGTTTCTTGGTTTTCATCAGAAACTTTTTCGTCATGGCAGTCATTATGGCCATCGCAGACCTAGTAAAGTTAGTTAAAAATTATTTATAATATATGAAAATATTATCGTTCAAATAAAGTTAATACTATTTTTGCATATTTTTTCAAACGATTAATTCTGACATTGGCAATAAGGCATATCAAAATTTACGAACGTACAAAAAATTTTTGTTATAAATTTAAGTAATGTATCACAACTTTATTGAGAAAATACCTGAGTAGTGTTGATACAATGTCCATTGGAACATTCGAAATGTCCAGGAGGACAGGTAGCTGATACACCTGCACAATCTAATTCATCAGAGTTATCACTACAATCATTAATACCATTGCAGCGTCGATCAGCATCAATACAACGTCGATTAGTGCAGAGGAAATATTTTTCTGGACATACTCGCGTATCTAAAATACATTTGTTGCGTGACGTTGAAATATTTATTACGTGAATTATTCGATAAAATTTCAAAGATTACACTTGACTTACTACAATACGTGGCATGCTCATCGGAACCATCACTGCAATCTTGCTGTCCATTACATGTTTCACTAAGTGCTATACAAGCACCATCGCCACATTGGAAGTTGTATGGAGGTTGACAATTCTTCAAAAGACAAGTAAGCAAAAAATTATGAATTTCGCAGGTAATACTTGCTTGTTCATTGTTTGAAGATAAACTACTGTAATGAGATAAAGCGGAACGAAGAATAAACGACGGATAACAGTTTTGAGAATTTTAAAGTGAGTAAAGCTGACTTGAGTAGAAGAGTCACGCAGTACACATTGTGTAGCAATATCTTTGCCTGGTTCAACAACGAGTTCAAATGAATCATTGCAAGCACACTGAACCTTAGAAGCAGTAATTCCCCCATTTACTGCAACCACGTGACAAAGCTAAAAGCAGACATATACTTGAGTAAATTTTTGAATCAGTCTTGATCATATTAAAATTATAAATGTTATTTCAGAACTCATAAATAAGTATAATTTTTCACCTGATCACAGCCACCATTATTCTTTTTGCATAAACTTGAAGTGAGCGTGTTGCAGAATTGATTACGAGTTCGCGAGTCAGCTTCAGAAGCAATTACTCTTAGTGTGGATGGCATACGTCGATCTGCTACTACATTTTCGTAGTTTGCTCCAGAGTTCTTTAAAGCTTATTTCTCCGTTGATATTTATCAAAATTAAGCAGTAAATGAAGGATATTAGTAATAAAATCAGTACAAAAAACTTAGAAGATAATTGAACAAAGAATAACAGTATTACCTTATTCATTCTATATATTCCATTAGCCAAAGGATCACTCATATACAACCACTGGCCCCAGATATCTAAGCTTTTGGCTCGATAATTTATGCCGATTGTTCGTTGATTCTTACCATCATAGTCAGATGACTCAATATTAAGTCTATAACAATGATATCTTATTCATGCCACCTACCAAATCTCTACTACAGTTTGACCTTTTAATATTACATAAATATCATCACTGTTAACAGTTAGCATCTAATGGTTACCTGTTGATATCAGCCCAGTATAAACGCTGTTCACGGAAATCAACAGCTAGCGCAGCTGGTAAGCTTATACTTTCTTTGAGAATAACTTGCCGGTCTCCACCTGCCATATTTGCACGCTCAATTCGCGGTTCATATACGCCTATTATGATAATAATAATGAAAATAAGAAACCACAATGAGAAGAAATTTATTATGTAAAATAAATCTAAAGCTTAAAATTTACCAATAATAAAAGGATAAGATAGCATATTATTAGTTGATCACTTCATCATCACTAATTTTATTAAAATTAATAAAGTAAACTTTGTCCAGGCACAATATTAGGAGTACATTACATACCGCCAGTGATTTTATAACCGCTATCGGACCAGAATACGTATCCGGCACACGGATCAACAGCCAGTGCATACGTCCAATCACCACTCGCCACTGTAGCGATATGCTCACCTTGCACATCTACGACGTATATTTTTCCACCTCTATAAGCATAAATGAATGAATAATAGATGAAATTTTACTTAACAATCATTTTTTAAGTGATTTGCGTAATTTAAATTTTAGACATTCAATTGGCAAATTTAATCCTCCGTTTTCTTAACTGAAACTGCATTTTACTGCTAGGAAAGTAATTCTTACTTCCGGCAACTACTCAACGTGATTTATCGAGCACAGATAATCCTTCATAAATAATCTTACAGAAATGCTCCAATGTATAAAGTGTATCTACAGATCTCATTCCATGATATATTTTGAATTTATCATTGTTAATCACGAATAATCACGAATTCTACTTAAAACTTCTCCATGCAAGCAATTACTTTGTCATTTTTGTGATGAATTATTACGCCGAATTTTCCGCGTATGCAAAGAAAAGAGCGCAAAAGTTATTTAAAAAAAAGCTATTTTGTAGCTTTAATAAAAATATTGCATGCCTTCCTGTGGTGAAATATATTTTGTGTGTTAACCAATCAAGCTTCATATCCGATATATGTCGTACTGTTTCTGCCAGTTTATTTTTTTTTGAACCAAAAATGAGTCTGCAAGTAACGGTTAATTTAAAAATATTTTATTTACTATTTGCTATTTTCAGATAGTAGCAAGCTCGGTAGACATATGTATATAAGACATGCAAATTAAAAACCTGCGCTTGTGCGGTTGATTCATTGCAAACCATGAAATGTTAGCACCATTTGGTAATTCTGTAACGACGTATACACGCCGTAAATTTACGTCAACATCAAATAATTGTAAATTTTCAATTTGTGGCAAAGCTTCCTTTAATGGATTTGGCGCTTTAACATCTGGTTCAATTGGTGCATCAATTATACGATCCCCATCAGCAAACATCAAGAAGGTTTCTGGCTCTTAAAAATGATCTTTAAATAAAATGGACAAGTTTCTGAAAAATGTATCAATAAAAATCAGTTCTAGCATAAAGTTCATTTAAATTGAAACACTTTGTATAACTTAAAAAGTAAAATTTCTTTTGTAAGTTAAAGTATTTTTATCCTTTGAAAGTTAAGATTAACCCTTAAAAATTACCTTCACATGATCGACCTTTGAGTACACCACGAGCACATGCACATGAAGGACTTTGACTTCCAGGTGATGCGAAACAAAGTTGAGTGCAAGGCGTCTTCCTCAGATTATCTGTTATCTGACAAGGAGATGATGCTTTAGGCTGTACAGATTCATCGAATACAGCGACATTTCCTAAATCTGCTAGACCAGCTGCCATTGTCGTTGGTGAAATTAGTATTGATGTCTTGTTGGGATGACTAAAATTGACTTCAAAATTTATGTGATCAATCAGAATTACTTTTAAGAGTGGCTGGAAAAAATAAACATGCATGTAATGATTTTACAGCTATAACAACACCAGTAAATCTTTTTTAGTTGCTTATAAAATGAAGACTTAGATCGTTAAGTGAAATGGCATTGATAACAAAAAATGATAAAAAATTGAGTAATTAGTAGCTCAAATTTGATAAAATGATAATATGAAGAGTTTGAATTAGCAAATAATTTTAGACGATTTCTGTGGTTTTAGTAAATACTTCTTTTTCTTTAATGGACGCCACGTTCGAATTACTTTTCTTAAATTGCTGATGGCTAACCTAGAAGCAGAGAACACTTTCTGTAGACGATTATCTGTCCAATACATTGTTTGTCCAAGCAATGCAATTCCAGCAGCAGCAGCAATATCATTCCGAACAAGTTCTGGATTACCACCTTCAGCTCGAACTCGGAATATCCCTATGCAATATTCATATTAAATGACAATATTAATACAAAAAAAAATTGCGAGATTTCTTTTTTGTATGATTTTTGATTATAATCTGCTCATAGCAAAGAATAATCGTTCTCTAATTTTTTTTTTTCAGAGCAATAATGAGCATAGAATACAAGCAGTTTACCATCAAGTTTAGCATCAGTCCAGTACACCATATGGCTACTTGGATCTACAATCAAGTCTGTTGGTTCAGCAATATTTTCATGAACAATCACTTGTCGGTGACTGCCATCCAGAAAAGCTCGCTAAAATAATTTTCCTTTTTTCTTTACAAAATAATCCGAGAATTATTAAAAGCAATCAAAATCTAGCTATAATTTGTAGAAAGCATTCAGTAACTGACCTGAATAGTAGGTTTTTGGCCTTGATCAGCCCAATACAAATATCGTCCAATTGGATCAACTGCAATTGATGTTGGCGTTTCTGTTTTTGTAGAAAGTAAGACCTTCCGATGTTTTCCATCAAGCTGGCAGACTTCAATATGAGTACGATCCGAATCAACATTGATGAAGTATAAATTATCTAAAATAGCGATAATTTTTTCATTCACAAATAAAATTTTGATTTAATGATTGATATAAACATTTGCATTTTAAATGTTGTAGCATTAAAACATTTTATTATTAAAATGATTGACTTCTTCTCTTCTATTAATATTTTTAAAAATTTGAAGTTTGATATTAAACGAAAATAACGTACAGTTAATCCAGTCGAGAGCAATGCTTCGCACTGTAAAGGAGCCAAAGTTATCTCGAACGATATTTTGCACTTTTCCCGTACCTAAAGTAACTTTGTAAATTCCACGATTAGGACCAGACGATTCTGCTACATATAATGATTTAGTTTCAAATTCGAAATCCACTGCGGTGATAGCTGTACCACCAATAGGTTCCATTGCTACCGACTTTTGTTGCTCTCCATTTAATCTAAATACGAATTGATTTAGATGAGTAGTGATAAGAGTAATTAA